TTTTGTATTGGCACTCTTCAGCTCAGCCATGCTCAGCCTTTGTTTTTCACCCTTTCGCGCACGAATCGGACTCACAAACCAAGTCCGTCACAGCAGCACACTTTCTTGGGCTCAAATGATGTCACCCAAATCAATCGGTGTCCTACAAGTCTGACAGTGGTCCTACAGTTGTCTCCAACACCCTTTTTCCAGGGACCATATGACATGGAATTTGAATATATCGGCCGCCTTCCATGCGATTCATACTGAAAACTGAACACATGCTGTGTCTGTTTCTCGAACTGCATTGCTGTACTGAACAAACCGTGTTGTCAGATCACAAAGAGAAACTCACCTGTGGGACCACGGAAGGCGATCTTGTTCCACTTGGAGCAGTCTGCCAGACCACTACCAAAGTTGGCAACTGCTGCTTCAATCCGGAAAAGCATTAGACAGTCCATGGGCTTCTCTTCACAGTTCCAAGAGCTTCGCTTTCGCTGATCATATCACAGGACCAGTTCGGACAAGTGAATTCTATGGATCAGTGAAGAACCCTGGCGATGTCATCACAAGAGAGAAGGTGCGGTGGACCATTACAATGGGATCCTGAGATAGAACCTGTTTTCATCTCCGGATACCCCTTGTGACCAAAGTCGAAACACAGCCGGCTGTCGCCAGTATCTCAGACGACTCCGTGAAAAACCGCAGTCTCCTCTCCTGTTTCTCTGGGGTTTGTGCTGCTAGTTCTTCAGGATTCCTCAGAAAGATCGGCTTCGGAATGGCGAGTTCTGAGGAAGTGGCGGGCAAGGAAGTGGGGGTTCATCACTGGGGTAATAGAGGGTGGTTTGGACATGGTTCAACCGTTCAACCGTTCTACCCTGCATTTTATCATATCACATTCCTCCATGTGTGGATTTTCTGGCAAGATTGCCTACGGCCACAAATCTTCTTGTCCGGCTGTTCTTGAATCGTTCCGTAAATTTCCGAGAGCCATCGGTGGGCAGTGCAAGGGTCGTGCTGGAATCACGACCACAACGGTAGTGTTTAAACCCCATCATGCAGGAGCTTGTAGCAATGATCTTTCTTGGGTCAAATCACTTCGTCTTTCTGTACACCAAATATGACACAAATCAGTTCGATGAGTTTTTTGGATCTGCAATCTCCGTTGTTTCTGACATGTGGAAGACCATTTTCCTTTACAACCCAGTGGTTTGGATGGTTTTGGGGTTCTGTTCGTAAAATCTGCAGGGAAGTCCTAAAGACCTGAGATCTATCAGTTCCACCGACGGTCGACTCCGCCATCTCGGTCTGCGGATGGCTACCGCCGAGCGGCTGGCCACAGGTGCATGTGGTGGAAGCGCCGTTTCCAGGCATCAGCGTCATAGGCTTGGACCCGTTGAGCCCGGAAGGGAAGCCGATGCTCAGGTGCCTGGTGGAGGCCATCGCTCGGCTGTGGAACACAGGCCCGTCAGTTGGGTGAAAAGACCATCAGTTGTTTGGTCTGGTCGTGGGCGATTGGAAGATGATCAATTTGGTTTAGGCGTTCTTCTAAACGCTGTTTGTATTGGAAACACATGGATTATATATAGTATATATGGAGTATATATATATATACAGTAGTATATATGGAGTATACAGTAGTATGGATATATAGAGTCTACCATGTTCCTCTTCCATGTGATGCGCTTCGTCAGAGTGCAGGGTCCGTTGAGTTGGCTTCGTCGGAACTACAAAGACAGCACGTTTGCCGTCACAACACACTTTCCTGAAACCATGGGTTGTCTCCATAAGAGACATTCCAGCACTTGCTATGAAGCAAAGTTAAAGCATCGAAGTGGCAGGTTATATATATATAAGCACAAACTAGACTTCATCAACCCCCAAAACCACCGGACTCAGCTCGTTCAGCTGGACGAAAACGACAGGACGATGCGCCCATCGCTGCCTGGGGGTGCCTCGGGGTGGATTCCTCGTCTCGATCGTCTCGACTCGAGGTGTGGAATGGATAGCTCGCCACGTCACCAAAGAGCTCACTCATGGACACCTGGTTTGGCTCGCCAAAACGAGCCAAGTTCAGTGCACCGAGCGATGGCAGCGATGGCCGATTCTTGCTAGTAGATTCTTGCTAGCAGGAATGCCCTTGTTACTCGTTCCTAATGGCAATGGCCTCCATCCAAGAAAGGAAGATGGAAGAAGAGGGGTAGCAATCCAGTACGATTTTGGGTGGGTTTTTGGTGGGACTAATCCCTAACGATCCATGAACCATGGAACAGGCGACCCCATCACCTAGCGCATGAATGATTCCCAACTGCGCCTCCAGTTCCTCCCTCTCCTCGTCTTCGCTCAGAGTTCTTCGGGAGATACTTCCACCAGACCCCATCTTGGCGTCTCTGCCCTTTCTGATAGGTCAGGCACTTGTTTCTAGTAGCGTGGCACCTGTTACTACTAGCGTGGCACTTGTTACTACTAGCGTGGCACTTGTTTCTAGTAGCTTCCGAGAGGTCTTGATCCAAAAAGAACGGACTGTTCGCTTGTTCCTCCGGAGCCTGTTCGCCATCGAACCAGCGAAGACTGCCCTTCCCAGTCAAAGCTCGACTTCTGGGACCGAGCGACAAGAATGGAACAGACCTGGTTTTATAGTGTAAAGTCCTTATAGTGAAACAATGGTGATTCGGGATTCAGGCTATTGAATTAAGGGTGGGCCAGGAAGCCTAGGGGGGAGTCATATGAGTAACAAATTAAGATATACGTGCCAATTTACAATAAGACATTTGACATGTTCAGGAAGCACTTATAAGGACAAAGACATACCTCCCCAACAACAAAGGAGGACCTCCATGTTTGGATTCCCAAACACCAACGACCAGGTAGACCTCAACATGTCCAGCCTCCCTGTCTTGTCACGTCCAACGAACTCCACCGTGAGCTACGCGCCTACGTCGTGAGCGAGCTCCTGCCACGCGGCGAACAGCGAGCGAACAGCGGTGTCCACGTGTCTCGCTCCCAGGAGCTGGGTGTCCGAAATGACCGGCCAGAAGGGAGAGTTTTGGTTTAACTGTCAGATTTATTTTTTAGTGAAAGAGAATCAACCGTCAATGTGAATTGTGTGGCTATCCTTTCAGCTTCGCCATGCTCCGCCCCTTTCTACACCGTCACATGCTGTTCGCTTGCCCTCGACGCACACAATCATGGACCTGTACACACAATCGCGACTTTGGGCGAGTTGTCCAAGCAGACAACGAACTTCTCCCAGCAAGCCCAGGAGCTTTACAGACTTCGGACGACGTGGTGCTACAGGATGGAGGTGAGAGTTTTCCCTCTTCCCTCCTGGATGGACAACTTTCAAAACCATCGTTTCACACAAACACATGACACATCCTACCCTGGTCAGTTGCCTTGTTGTCCCGCACTGGTCACCGGGCACGAGGCTTTGACCGGCTTGGAAAAGAAAGACCTCCGCGGTCTCAGGTAGCTGCAAAGAGCTGTGTCAGGTAAAACGTACCATTGGATGCACGAGCCGCACCAATGCCACAAAGGTTGAAACGGCCGCTCAGATTCCTTCAATCATTGCTCGAAAGGGGATCTTGAAATGCAAACCGAAATGCACTGTCCTTTCTTTATGATGAAATAAGTAGGTTGGAGGCCATCGCTAGTAGATTATGGTCCAATTATGGTGAATAAGCTCGCAAATTTCAACAACTTTGGCTTCTGAGCAGAAGCAGAACTCGCGAATGCCTCCGCCACTGCCATGTGGCTTCTGTCCTTTCATGTCCCGGAGAATTGATCCAACCATTCACAGCAGCTCCAGCAACATCGGCGATGCCATTGTTGAGTGCCTGGCCAAGGAGCAAGGCTATGCTAAGTCTAAGTTAAGTTTCCTGGAACCAAATCAGACCAAATCATTAGTGCGAGCGCTTCCTTGAAGAAGCGTGAGCTATCCTGCATCCTGTTACTAGTAGCTAGCGCCCTTACTTGACTAAGTAGGTGCCTACTTGATGATGTAGGAGAGGGCTGAACATGTTAAAAAAGAAACACAATAACAATAATAATAAACATAATACAAATGAAACTCTCAAGAAAGATCAAGCACCCCAAGTCTGTTGACATCTGGGAGTCCAAACCAAATTCTCTGCTGCAGATTGATGTGCCACTGGATATGCACGAAATCGTTGATCTACTCCATCATGGCCTCAGGTGAAACTGCCCAATTCGGTGTACCACCCGAACATTCCTTTGGTCCTACTAGGAACAAGTGCCATGCTAGTAGTAACAAGTGCCTTACTAGTAACAAGAATTTAATTAGAATTGTAATTACTAGCTTCTTGTTACTACTAGTAAGGCACCTGTTACTACTAGTAAGGCACTTGTTCCTACTAGCAAAGGAATCTACTAGGACCCAAATCGACACATGGTGGAAACGGCCCGTCGCTGGTCTCGGTTCCGGCCGGACCTGAACCGCAGTTCGAAGGTTCGGAGAACCGTTCTTCGGCCCAGCGACTGAAGGGAGCGGCACCGGAGGCCATTTGCTCAGCATGATCTCGGGCGATCCGGGCAATTCCGTCGTTCCATCGCAGTGGAGGAAGTCCCTGAAGAGCAAGCAAGACATGTAAAAACCATGTCAGACATCTCTGCAAATCACCCAGAAACCATACGATCTCAGATCTTCTCATGAAGTTTAGTTGGTTGGAGTTGAAGATCTTGAAGCCGCATCTCTTTTTTCTCTGCGCCTTTGATGCACGGTAGCGATTGGTACCATCAAGCGCCTGTCGGGCGATGAGTTCCGGGTCCTGAACCGGGCGATGGCGCCTAACACAACATGCCCTGGATCTTCCAATTCTTCTTCCACGTGTATCGCTACTAGTAACAAGTGCATCGCTACTAGTAACAAGTACATCGCTAGTAGTAACAAGAAGCTATTAGAATTCTTCTTCCACGTGTTGTAGAAATAACGCTAATCACGTCAAAGTAACATGAATAACCTGTTCTTCTTGTCATAAACAGCAACATGTCACGACAGTCAGAAGGCAAGTGTTAAGTCTTTCACATAGCTCCGTGCGACCAGCGTGGAATAGTTCGTTGCTGGTGCTGACTGATGCGAAAGCCGGTACCTGAAACCAGGCCATCAACAGCCACACTTGCAGCTGTCACTTGCTGCGCAGGAAAATATGGCGCACTCATCCGCATAGCTGGGCATCCCAGCAATTTCCTCCTGCACTCGCATCTTCTCCAAATCGCTCAGGGTGAAGTGCTGGCGAAGAAGGATTGGATTGGGGAGAATGATTGGGGAAAGAATTAAATTATAGTGATCCCCAAATAGATAGTGGCACGAAGGTTGGAGGTCATCGCTCTGAGAGGTCTCTTTTTCGTGGATCCGGGGAAAGGGTTATATAGAGTAGATGCTAATCCATGTGTGCTTTTTTTGGTCGAATGATCTGCTTATGGACTCGCTTTGTCGGACATGACCTTCCAAATCACAGGCGGTCAACCATGACCAGAGTTGAAGTCATCAACCGACCCATCGTTGGTGGACTGTGTAGATTCAAGCAACGACCGTCTTGAGACCAAAAGAACGCACAATAGAATAGTTGCGTTCATTTACCCCATAGTTGACTCCATGCAAATAACTCTTCCATAGATGGATTTGGATCCCGCATATCTGATCCCTTCGCCTGAGCTCTTCGGGAAGGGGCAGCTGGAGAGGCAGTACTTGGCCTTGCCAACGTACCACCCACGCCACGGTTGCCGCGGGAGCTTCTCCGTGCTTCTTGGAAGCCACGCGGGTCCTGCAAAACAATGCAGGCAGATCGTGGGGATCCATTTAGCGATGTATATTACAGAAAAATACACCACTTTATTCACTTGTGACATGTCAGCCAGCAATGGGCAATCGTTGGCAAGATCCTGCCAATTTTGCATCTTTGCTCTTTGCAAATCATATCGCCACAGGATCCTAGCCTTGAGGCGCATCTCAGTGAGGGCTGCAATGTGCTGCCGTCTGGCATCTCTCCTTCCAATTGAATACATACATCGTTCAATACTGATCTGCTGGAACTGCAAATTTGGCACCTTGAAGTGCCCAGTGATGACTTTAAATGACTAAAGACTTTAAAAAGGAAGAACGGTCTAACAGTCTAAAGAAAAAACAATCTTGTCGGGTTGGTGGCTTCAACTCAATTGAAATATTAGTCAGTGGGACCAGTCATCTCAAGTAAAGGTTGGAAAAAAGAAACATATCTGAAACAATTACTAAGTAGCGTCCTTGCTCCTAGTAGTATTGCCAGGAGCTACTAGTAGCGATGCCAGGAGCCCCTAGTAGCGTCCTTGCTACCAGTAGTAATGGTCACCCAACTATTCTTGTGATTCTTCAACATCAGCTCCTGCAAGCTGGAGCAGGATAGCCGCCACTTGCAACTTGAGGAGCAGCACGAGCAGGCTTACTGCTAGTGGCCTGCTGTTTGGACAAATCAGGTCGTTTCATGTAAATCCACACACATCTCAGGTCGTTTTCTGTCATCTTCAGCTTGCCTCAGCGGCTTTGGGAGACAAGGTCTCCCCAGCTTCTTGCAGAGCCTCAAGCGATGTATATCGTGTATTCTGCTCAGGAAAGATCGGCACATGCAGCTAGAACTCAAGGTCTCAAAACCAACAAGAAAGCCATCTTGTTGATGACACGCCATCTCGTTGCTTGCAACTAGACAGCATTGATATGCAATCTGTAGCATCTTCTTGGTCAACCCGGGTTTCCAACCAACAAGGACCACAAAAGAAGACCGTGGATCACCGTCCTCAGATGTCCCCTGACCGGTCTGACCCTTCGCCTCATGAACTCGCTTGAAGGGCTCACGAGTCGGATCTCCTTTGAAGATCATCGTCGCCTCCACACCGAAAGGAGCGCCAGATTGCCATTTCAACCAGCGGAACAATGGCACACCAAATGACATCAAAGATAGGTACAATCGAGTTGTGGATATTTTGGGAGAATCTGATTTTGGAGCCAAGGTTCAATATGGACCGTCCGTTCAACATGTCTTCCCAAAGACCCGAACACGAAGGTTACACCGGTCCAAAGGCAAACCCATGGATCACCTCACATTTGGAAGTCTCCAGGTTGGAGGCCATCGCTTTTAGGGTGGAGGCCACGGCTATTAGGTTCCTACTAGGGAGACCCCTCTCAAGGACCACTGGGAAGACCCAAAAAACACAAGACCCTGAGCCCGTTGGGAGGTCTCCCTATTTCAATACCACCGTGTTTTTTTTTGTATTGAAATACAACACTGGAGGCACCCCTCCCTATTTCAATACAACACTGTTTTCACTCCAACAGTAAAGGCCTTTCTCTGGAGGGCTGCGTCGGTCTTCGAGTGAACATGGGACACGGTTTCCGCGTCTTCCGCGTCCCTGACGCCGACGCCTCAGCATCTTCTTCAAAACCGGCGTAAGACCTTGAGGCGAAAATGATGTGAAGAATTCAATGCACCAAAGCATGTGAATGTCTAATATAGTTTGCTATTAGGTTGGAGGCAATCACTACTAGGTTGGAGGCCATCGCTACTAAAGAAAGAAAAACAGAAAGAAAGGACGTCGAAAGCGTTGATGTGTGTCAGATCTTGTCACCTTGTGCTGCAGCTTTGGGTTCAATCCCGACAATGTAAACGTAAACACTTGCATCAGACCGACTCTTTCAATCAAAACCTCTTCAGTGCTTCTTGCCATGATAATTTTGTAAAGAGGCCCACACGTCAGCCATTAGATGGTGCCCATTGCGACACTTCTGAGGTAAGAGCATCAAGGCAAGCGCTTGGGGGTGGCAGCCCACCTAACTCTTCCAACGAGACTCATCTTCGACGACACCGTGAACTGCGTAGAAGGGATTCTTCTGAAACGATCCACGGCCCACGGCCCGCATTGATAGCCCAGCAGTCTCTGCTCTCTCTTGGACGCAGCGCAGTCTCAAACTCTCTAACTAGCAAGTGCATCGCTTCTAGTAACAAGGGCATCGCTACTAGTAGCTTCTCGATACTAGTAGTAATGCCCTTGTTACTACTAGTAGCGAGGCGAAAAACACTTCCTTCCTTGGACGCTGCACACCCACGTGAAGAAGTCGACTGGGGCCAGGGCCTCTGCTGCAAATCGTGCGTTGCTCTTCCGCAACTGTCTGAACTTTGGCCTGAAGTGATTGAACAAAATCCTTTAAGCTACTAGTAGCAAGTGCATCTCTACTAGTATGCAAGGATAGTTCTGTATTCTTTGTAGATGGTCGCGGGTACAGCGCATCTTTGGAGACCTTCCCTTCCAAAGTCGTCCGCTGAAAGATTTAACATGAAGCGAGGGCACTGTGTATGTATGACCATGACTGTCATTCTGCATGCTGGAACGCTGACGATTGAGCTTGTCCTTTGTCCCCATATTGCTGGCTCGGGGCTCCTTCTGTCAATAACACTTCAATCGGTTGCAAAGGTCTGTTTCTTCCAATGCTTGCTACAGCCAACGTTCGTGCCATTTGCAACAACTCGTGCGTTGTCTTGGATCGAGTGACGGGATTCGCTGTGTGACAAAAATCAGAGCTTCGACCCTCGGACTGTCCGGGATGGACTGTTGCTGCTAGTAGTAATGCCCTTGCTACTAGTAGCTTCTTGCTACTATCAGCGATGCCCTTGTTTCTAACAGTGACGTCCTTGTCACTAGTAGCGATGCCCTTGTCTGGGTCCACCCGGCATCTTCTTGTTCGGCACATCTTCTTCTGGGTGCCATGCACTTGGATGTTTGTTTCGGGCTTCATGAATCCATCAACGTCCCGTGTTCGCGATACAATGCGCTAACCAAGCCAATTGAAGCACGCTCCCTCCAACAAACAAGGAGAACATTGGTTGCTTGAAAAGAAACATAGACATAATTTACATAATAGATTTAATAGATGAAGTTAATTAGTCATCCATGGGGGAATAAGGGCAAGTTTGGCAAGTGTGTGAAGAACATTGAGCACAACGACTGATCTCAATGGGCCAAGGGACTCAGACGGTTGCTCAACAACACGTGACAGAATGCCACACAAGGTCTTGACCTCCAGAAAACAAAAATGCTTCAAGTGTGGCTCTTCAGCAATTCTCTACAAAAACTACATGTGCCGAAAGCGCCATGCTGCTCTTGTAGCTTTCAATCTGTCGGATATCTGAGAGACCAGGCACAGACTTTCATCTCATCGTCAGGGAGGCCCTGGAGACGCCACGGGACTTTATAAAAAAGCAACGTTCGCCAAACCGGGCAGAGAAATAAGGACATCACGTTGCAACAAAGAACTTCCCAAGAACTGGGCATCAAACGAAGAGATCTGCCAGCAAGCCATCCAAAATGTCATCAGCCTCCTCATGTGCTTCCTGCGGCCACTGAGGACACTGTGGAAGAAAGAAGCAGCCGCTTGTAAGAGCCCTTCGTTTCCCTGAAAACAGCGGGGCGCCTCTATGACCACCTGTCGGTTGGCCTGCGCATCTTGCAAATCAGCAGGCACAAATCTTGCAGGTCTGTACTTTTGTTGTATATCTCCTTTGGGTGCAATCTCCTCACTCAAAGAACAGCTGGATGTACTGTACGTGTGGTCCTCTACTGATCTTTGTTCCGTCTTGTTCGGCTCCAATTTGAAGCCGAGCTTGAACTCTGAGTCCTGCCTCCGCTTCGTTTTCCACACAATCCGATGTGCACACTGGCTCAAAGCTGGTCACGGCCTGATCAAACGACTCAAACACTTCAAGGAGTTTGAGAAGGCGCGGAACGAACAACTTCGATGAACTCACTTTTTATGAAGGCAAACTAGAGCAAATGGTAGATCAACATTGACTCCATTGATCTAACATGAAGTTCTCAACTCTCAAAAGGTGGTCAACTCATGAACTCACTTTATGAAGTCACTATCTTGTGTGGTCAACTCATCGAGCACCGGTGTTCACACCGGGTTTCAGCCAGCGACTCCATTGGGACTTTCGGGACGAAGGGCGCGTGACGAGTAGGCCTCGCCTGGGGTCCGGTGCTCGACATTTCCAGCAGCGCAGCTAATGACATGTCTGCCAATTGCTGCCGCCTCAGGTGACGCGAACCCCAAACAGCAACAGGAACCTAGTAGCCATTGGCCTCCAACCCAATAGCGATGGCCTCCAAGGTTCCTCGACATCTTCATTCATCTTCGACATTTCTTACACAAATTGCATCTGACACCTCGAAACGTCTTCGCCCGTTCTTCTCCACCCCATCATCCGACCAAACCGACTCATTGGGCCGATGCCCAAACCGCACCAGGAGCGTTCGGACGCGACGAACGGGGCTACTTCCCCGGTGCTTCCAGGCGGCCTGGTGGACGAACACTCGGCACAGGCTGCGGACGAGCGGCGAACACTCGGCATTGCTGCGGAAGAGCTGGGAGACGGCGCCCTGCAAAGCCGTTGTCTCAAGGAGTCCAATGATGGCCCTACTAGGACTCAAGGACGCTACGAACGGAGCAAAGGGCATTGCTATGAACGGAACAAGAACGCTACGTTCGGGGCTCCTGGCCGTACTACTAGGAGTAAGTAGCTACTAGTAACAAGAAGCTAATGACTAGTAGGTTGGAGGCCATCACTAGTAGGTTGGACATAGCAACGGGGTCTCATGAGTGTCAAAGCCCCAGAAATGACCTCACGTTACTCGGGGCGTTGTTCCAACCAGTTCCGTTGCCCTGAAATGCGACGGCTCTTCAGCCTCTGTCACTGACATCACAGTAGGAGGCCATCGCCATTAGGTTGGAGGCCTTTGCTATTATATGTGTTCTTGTTCAGCCTTGTCCATTGTTTGTGCTTGTCCTTGTCCTACATACAAGTCCTTGGGCCCTTGGCCTGGACGGTATCAGCTGGAAGGGCAGGAAACCTCGGCTTCCGGTCCGCGCGAGCGAGCGTGGCCCGACGCTAGAGGTTTGGGGTCCTGAGAAGCAAACGGAGAAGAAATATGATTTGTTTGTATCTGTCGCAAACATATGCCAAGAAGCATTTCTGCCAATCGTGCAGCAATGTCTCCCACTCCACCTGTGGTGCTCTTGTGCCCGATGATGGCAGATCGTTCCTGCGCTACGAACGGCTCAAGGGATCGATTCGTAGAAGCCTCGATGTGGATGGCAGGAGCGACCCTTGCCATGTGAGGTCTTCAAAAGGAATCTGATTTCTTACATCTGTTTGGGAGGAGCCAGGGCAGCTCTATAAACTCTTTTGGAGAGTACAAACTCACAAACGGCACAACAAAACGGCGCCAACCCAAAATAGATAAGCAAATGCCCCTTGAAACATATGTATTGGAGCACTTTTCCATCTAGTTATACGGATCCACTCTCTGCTTTCACTTCATCTCCTTCTTGTCTCTCTACATTTTGTTCATGGTTGGAATCAAGACCATCCAGCCGTGGGAACATCGCCAGCTGAACAAACGCTTCAATGCCTGTGTTGGCTTGCGCCGATCTGCTGTAGCTTTCAACTCCTCCCGCCTGACCAGAAAGAACCGATCGGCCGTCGGTTCGTGAAAGAGGGAGCAAAGGAGGTCCAGAAAGAACCCCTCCCGGAAGCCCTTCCAAGTGGAAGAAGATTCACGGAAGAAAAGAACACCCAATGGTGACTCCAATAAACAACGGCGTGTGATTACTTTAGACCAAACCATGTGGGACACCGCTGAAGGGCTTTTGCCTACTTTTCGTTGGACCAAAGGGTCTTCACGGGCCTTCCCATTCATCCCTATTCTAATACACGACCTGGTGGTGTTCATATTTGAAGTGCCAACATGTAAGTCCTTGCCACTAAAGAATTGTTGGGGCCATTGCTCTTGACGTTGGAGGCCATCGCTCTTAGGCTTCCCTTTTTTCTGTCTTGTCTTGTCTTTCTCTTGCCAAGTCACAAGTCAAAGTTTCTCATCGGCATCTTGGCGGCAGTTCTCGCGCGCATCTCAACAAACCCGTGCTCCGAGGGGATCTCGGATCCAAAAAACGGTGGCGTCTGGGCCAAAACATTGCCGCGGTGACGCATTGGTGAACTGGATCGGCCCAAACAGGTTCACCATGGTTCACCAGGTAGTAGCTGAACATCCTTCAACGATCCGTTGTTGGGAAATCTGAACCTCCGGGTTGTCCGAGTTCGGTTTGGAAATTGGATCCTGTTGCTCCGGTGTGGCTATCAAGATCGTTCTGGTTTTCTCAAGGCGTGAAAACCCTCACAAACCGCAGCGATGTCCATCGATCTCTCCATCTGCAGAAAATAGAGATCGGATGAATAAAGAGCCGCCAAAAAAGAAAGGATGTGAAGGTGTTTTTTTCTGTCCCATATCAAAGGATTCAACCCAAACCCGCCAGTCAAACTTGCAAGAATGAAGCACATCCGACAGGCCAATCTCCAACACATCAAATGTCGCGGCAGGGTTGGTACTCTGAAGGCTTCAACAACGTGTAGTTTCTGGACTCTTTCCTTGACCAACATCAATCACCGGCTTGGCATGGCTTGCCTTTAGGTTGGAGGCCGCTTCTAGGTTGGACGGTTGGAGGCCATCGCTATGGTTTGTCTGCCATCGCTAGTAGGTTGGAGGCCATCGCTATGGTTTGTCTGCCTTTAAAGTGGCTTTCATCGCTTGATCTGCTTTCTCCGAAAGGTGCTCCGAGGTCGTGGAAAGGCAGGACTTCGGACCCAATCGCGAGGACCCGTCAAGCGACATCCAGTGTGGAACAGGATAACAACCAACACTTCGATATGAATTCACCTGGTGAATTTTGGGCCAAGTCTGACCGATTCTGCAACATTTCGAGCCCAATCCTCCATGGCTGCTAGCCTTGGGAGCTTGAGGATTTCAGCGGCCTGAACAAATTCCATGATCCAGGTGAGAAATCATCACTTAGCCAACTTCTGAACGCCATTATTTCCTTCACTTAATGCAAAAGGTTCAACCGCAGAGCCGCAATTAAGATCGACAGGCTAACTTGAACACGCTAAACCTTCCTCAGCCTTTGCGCATGCCCGAGGTTGGAGGCCATCGCTACTAGGTTGGAGGTGATCGCTCTTAGAAACAAAAAAACAGAAAAGGACGAAAGGTCTAATATAGTTTGCTTCTAGGAGCAAGAAGCTACTAGGGGCTCCTGGCATCGCTACAAGGAGCAAAGGACGCTACTAGGGGCTCCTGGCCTTACTGCTAGTAACAAGAAGCTACTAGGGGCTCCTGGCATCGCTACTAGGAGCAAGAAGCTACAAGGGCTCCTGGCATCGCTACTAGGAGAAAAGGACGCTACTAGGCCTCCAACCTAATAGCGATGGACTCCAACGTAGTAGCAATGGCCTCCAACCTAGTAGCAATGGCCACCAACCTAATAGCGATGGCCTCCAACCTAATAGCAATGGCCTCCAACCTAGTAGCAATGGCCACCAACCGAATAGCGATGGCCTCCAACCTAATAGTGATGGCCTCCAACCTAGTAGCAATGGCCTCCAACCTAATAGCGATGGCCTCCAACCTAGTAGCAATGGCCTCCAACCTAGTAGCAATGGCCTCCAACCTAGTAGCAATGGCCTCCAACTTGCGATGGCCTCCAACCTAGTAGCAATGGCCTCCAACCTACTAGCGATGGCCTCCAACCTACTAGCGATGGTCTCCACCCTACTAGCCTCCAACAAGGAGGCGATGTCGTTCATCATCTTCACAAAAAGGATGTGCAGGTCGCCAATGCTCTTGATCGGACACTCGTGGCTGCAAGTCATGAAGTCTCCTCAAGCAACTCTCGAATTCCAAAGCCAGCCCTCCGATTGGCTCTTTTTACCTTAACCGAATCACCTGATGAAAACCGGCTAACGGGAATCACCACCATCACCGTCATCGTGGGTACGCTTCAATCGGTGTGAAACCGAACGAACCTGTGACCGTGGGGTCTTCTGCTCATTCTTTTTGGGCTCGATGTTGGGCGAAAGAAAAAACACACTTCGAGCACGGTGGAGGTTTGCCAACACTTTGGACCATCCAGTGCACAGAACAGTCACAACATGTCACAATATGCTGCACATCTCTGCGTAAGTCGGCGCACCCAGGAAATCTCGTAAGTACCCCCAAAGCCGGTCCCACGAAGATCGGAATTCGAAGGAGCAAGAAGCTACTAGGACAAAGAACGCTACTAGGGGCTCCTGGCCTTACTACTAGTAACAAGGTTCGCTACTAGGAACAAGTGCATCGC